GATCCATAACATCAAATCAATATCATCAAGGTTTTGTTTGTTTTCATTTATTCACAAAAGAGAGATTTGTTTTTCGGTGGATTCCGGAGTGACTCATCGTCGTAAATTTGACATCGACGTTGTGGATTCAACGTTGGGCAAGACAATTCCGAGATGAAGACGGTGGTGGAAGAGACACATAGGGGTCAGTTCAATTCAGGCGTGGATCCGCTAGGTAATTGAGGGTACACTTGTGTAATTCCTTCTTTTTCTTCTTCTTCCTCTTTTTTTTTTTTTTTGTCTTCTTAGTGGATTGTTTTGTGATTTTTCTCCGTATTTTTTTTTATAACAATTGGAGACCCTCTAATTGTGGTTTTTCCACGTTAAATCGTTGTGTCGATTTGTCTTTGATTATTTGATTGGAATTATTATTTACTGTTTAAAATTGATATACAATCACAAATCAATATCTTGGGGATTTTAAGATTTTTCAACTATTATTAAGTGAAATTTAGGACCTATTGGTAATTACTGGGAAGTTTTTTCAAACCTAAAATAAAAACTTTCTAACTGGTGGTACACGCGATATATGTGCAATTCAAATAAATAATAAAAAAGTTAATGTTATTATATGTATGTTGCTCAAGTGATAAGAGTATTTTTAATGAAAATTAAGATTTTGAATTCAAACCTTATGCATCACCTCTGCCCATATATATTATGACATTAATTTCTTTATTGTTTCTTTATTTTTTGTTACTTATTCCGCTAGTAATTAGTATATATAAAGCCATTACCCAACAAGACTATGAATTCTATTTTTTGCTTTTTGAAAATATGACATAAGAAATTAATATTTAAATTTGTTTAACAATTTATTTTTTGGAAAATCCCTTCGTCAAAAAACACTTTTCAAGTTGATTTTCTTTACTATAGAAAACTATTTTCACAAAGAAACAAAATCAAAAATATTCATGAACTTTCCATTTTTTTCAGAAAACACACACGTGCGAAAACATACCAAACAAATGAGGCCATAAGTTGCTTACGCCATTAGACAATTTATCGCCACACTATTTGGATTGTTTGGTTAAACTTATTTCAAACAGTTTCTGATTCTAACAACTTATTTTAAGTCAAAAAAATTGATTCTGAGAAGCTGCTCACCCCATTGCTTCTGATTATCAGTTTATGCTGTGGACATGTTAATTCACGGTTATACTCTTAGATTTTTTTATTTTTTATTTTTTAAAAAATAGAAAAAGACCCAAATGGACTATTAAATATTATTATTATTTTTTATGAAAAATGTAGACAAATAGTGAATAATAAAAAATAAAAATTAATTGAAAAAGCTACTTCGTAGCTTATTTAACAAGCACTACTCAGTAACTTAAATTTATAATCCAACAACTATACCAAACAGATTAACAGCTTCTGATTAAAGTCATAATCTATAATATGTTAAGTTATAATGTATAATCTGTTTTAACAGCTACACCAAACAGCACCATTGTCTTCTAGTTTCCGTCCCCCTATATATAACCCTGTCTCTATATACACTTTTTGCAGAGACACACACACAAACAATGGTTCATTTGGTTTCTCTATCCAATGCCATGAGCTCAAAGCTCTTCCTAACCACATCAACAATTCTTCTATTATCAGTCTTTCTCTCATCAATTGATCAGATTAAAATTGTCTCTCATTTGTTTCAAACCAAGAAGTTATCTGCTAGTGACAAGCATACCATTCCAATTGTGGACGCAGTTGGGCCTGAGAGCTTTGCCATGACCCACGCGGCGGAGGTCCATACACCGGCGTATCGGACGGCCGGATTATCAAGTGGCTACAAAATGAACGGCAGTGGATTGGTTTTGCTGTGACCTCTCTGCATAGGTATATGCCCTACCTTATCATCATCAACATCATCATTATCAACCTTCTGCATTCATATTCATTTATGGAAAATTATTAAATACTTACAGAGTGGCATGTAATATAGTCTAGATAGCAAGAATAGTTCGCGGGTTAACTTTTGTTTCTTAATTACTTGATAAAGGTCAGTTAATATACATTTTTCATAATTTTTTTACAATAATGATAGATATCTTTTTTTTTAAATTTCTACAATCCCTAAAATGATCCACACCACTTATGATGTGGGTCTCACATATACATGAGTGGACCCCACACATAAACTATGTTACATGGACTCTTCAAATTAAATCAAATACCCGTGTCGGACACCCGACACTCGGACAAGGGTATGGGATATGTGTCGGATACTTTTCAACGGATACTTCATATATAATTGTATATAACACTATTATTATATGTATATATTGTTATATAATTGCTATAAATGTCATTTTGACACTATAAGTTAAATATAATACCATTTTATCTCACATATTAGATTAAAAATATAAAAATATGACATTTTTTTGCCGAGTCCGCGTATCCTTAAATTTATGATTTGATGAGTCCGACCTCTAGATACATACCCGCACCCGACACCCGTACCCGAGTCCATGTAACATAGCACATAAATGAGTAGTGTGGATCCCTTTGGAAATTGTGAAGTTCCAAAAAAAAGGGTCTCACTTATTTTTCATTTTTTTTATTACAAGATTAATTTAAAATTATATAAATAATAAATTTTTTTAAATTATTTAATATTGTATCCTAGGAAAATATTAAATTGGTAGGTAGGCGTGGGATTGTAGATTTTGGGGACCAGTGGTTGCCAAAAAGAAAACATATATACATACATATTCAATTGTAAATAATGATTTAGAGGCTTTGTAGTTCGAGTTTGAGTCAAGGAAACAACATTTTCAAAGAAGTAATGTTGTGTACACTTTGTTATTCTCATATGATGTTTTAACATAAATTGTGTATTTGAGTGTTTTTTTTTTTTTTTAAACCATAAATATTTTAATAGCCCTGAATAATATTCAAAAAAATGTTTAATATTAAATTATAACACAAATTTACCCTTGATGTAGTGTGTATTATGTACAAAATAAATTTGATTTATACATTTCAAATTTTGAGACTTAAATAGGCAACATAATTGTGATTTTTTTTTTTTTTCTTAATATTATCCCCAATATATATGTCAATTCTAAATAGGGGTAGGTAATGGATTTGCTTGGCCACACAACGGTTGTAACGAAGCCTTCAATCCTGAGGGCTCTAATTTTCCAGGTGGGGTCATATATTGTATTTATTGCATGGCTCTTGTGCATGTATTTATGGTGGTGCTACATGCACCAATTATTATTGACCCCACTCATTATACAAATTACAAATATCAAAAACATTTTAAATTATACCACATCATCAATTGGTATACTAATTAGTACATTAATTAGTGCAATAGCATTGTTCATGTACTTATCAGTGGTGCTACATGTACCAATTAGTGTACTAACTAATGTGCCAACACTAGTTATGTCATTATTATTGACCCCACTCACTATACAAATTACAAATACTAAAAACATCTTAAATTATGTCACATCATCAATTGGTACACTAGTCAGTATACTAATTGGTGCATATAACATTATTTTGTACTTATAATGTTTTTCATATGCACCACTTTTCAAAGATATATGTTTTCCTATTAGATTTCATCCAATCAAGTTTTAAAACAGTAATGCTACATATATAGAAAATATATGCACAGAAACTCTCACATGAAAGTGAACTCATACATGTGAGACGTATATTAGATCTACTTTCATGTGAGAGTTTCTATACATTCTGTAAATAAATTTTTTGTGTAAATAGCATTTCTCTAAGAACATATTCATTGAATGAAGGAAATGTTGTTTAACAACTTTTCAACAACTTAAAATGACAACAGAAACTTTAATTAGATTGTTTAACAACTTTTCAACAACTTAAAATGACAACAGAAACTTTAATTAGATTCTTGGAGTTCACTAATTAAACCAAAAATCTTTAAATTTACTACACTACTTGAAAATGCAACAGAAACATTTAATTGAAATGAAAATTGAATAATGCAACAGAATAAATAGAACATCATGCACGATGATAGAGATAATGAGGATAACACGATTTGAACCTACGATTTCTTACAATCAAAACTTTGATGCCATGTAAAGTCATTAATTATTTTAAAACTATATTCATTAAGAAATTAGTTCAACCATGTAAATCTAGCTAACAAAAATAAGGGGAGGGGGAATCCATACAAAATGATATGGGAAATTTCTATCGATTCATTTCCAACCAAAAGATCCATGAAAGTGGTTTATTATTTCAAAAAACATCACTATCATATCATTTGATGAGTTTCTTTTTATATAATTTGTGGTTGCAAATCATGTCCATTAATTTGATTAGAAGAATGGAAAAACAGAAAGTACATCTAGAAACAACATGAATGAACTGGAATGCTATTACAGAAGATTATATAAACCTTTTACAATTTCTCTCATTTTTCTTTGTAATAAAAAAACAACATCTAATTAAAACATATTAATGTGCGTTTGGGAGGAAAAACATTGGTTACACACTTAACTTTTGGTATAATATACAAATTAATTAGCCCTATACTTGAACTTATAATCTCAAAGTTATTAAGCCAAGCTTTTTACCATTAAACTAATGGTCACCCCTCATTTTTCTTTCGAATCTAAGAATTAAATGTTCTAGTTCTATTTTCTTCTAGTTTTGAGCTCAAAAAGGCTTCATGGGCCCATTTAGCCCAAATAAAGCAGTTAAGTGATCTAATTTTACGCCCCACACACTTGATTATTGTAAAAACACTTGTGAGTATTGTAAAACAAATTGATAATTTAATTTGTATCTCGATCTTTCCTGTAATCAGAGGCCAGTGTAGTAGAAGCTACCCCAATGCCACTGGGGTTTCTGAGCCCCCAACAAACCATGTGTCCCTTTCACCTAAACATTTTAAAATCTCAATTCACATTTATTTTGGTTTCGGAGATGGTTGTGAAGGTTCACATGACCATGAACAAATGGAGCACATTTGTGGGCGCCCATTGGGCCTCCGGTTCGACCAAAAGTCCGACAAACTCTACATCGCCGACGCATATATGGGCCTTGTCATCGTGGGCCCTGAGGGTGGCTTGGCCACCAAGGTTGCAACAGAGTCACAAGGGATTCCTTTTGGGCTCACCAATGGTTTGGACATTGATCAGAGAAGTGGAGTTGTGTATTTCACCCACAGTGGCTGGCGTTATCGGAGGAGGTACAGTGCTATCAATTTTATTTTAGATTAATGATTTATTCCTATAATTTTTTTTCTCCGAATCTCCCAAATGAGAGGAGGGATTTCGGAGGAAAAATTTTGTGCGAATAAATCATTGTTATTTATTTTGTTTTATTTTATTTTTTGTTGAGAGTGGTGAGTAGATGGGACCAAGCCCATTAGCAAATTGCTACATGTTCAAAATTAGGAGTGTATCTCGGTGGGTTGAGAGGTTGTTCATGCCCAGTCAAAGTTGTGTTGAGAGCTACCTAGGCTCGCCCAAGTTCAAATTGTAACCCAAGGTCGTTTGCTCAAGCTTGACACAAGTTAGGCTCGAATCGTACAAGTTTCCTACATTGTCTGAATTACATTTCAATTTTTTTTTTCTTTCTTTTTTTTTTCTTTTTTTAGTTAATTAATTTATTAAAATTAGACTCTATTTATATGTTTTTTAATAAAATTATTAATAATATCAAAACAAATAATTTATGTAATGTGAGAGAGATAAGAATTGAAGAACCAATATATTGCTATAGTGGTCTTTATAATTTCATAATGAGAAAATAAAAATATACGGTTTTATGTTGTGAAACTTACATATATAATATATATTTAATATAGTCTCACAATCTAAATTACCAGCATTATCAGATCAATAATAATTTTTATGTATATTTAATAAGAGAGCCGTTATTCCCACTGCATTTTACTCCAAATACACATTCTTTCTTTTTTTTCTCTCTTTATTATACATAGTTACATTAATATCCTTTCATACAAAATATACTCCCTAAAAAAATTAAAATTTCAAGGGTATTAATGTAATTATGCATAATAAGAATAAAGAAGGGAGTATATTTGGACAAAAGTGAAGTGGGAATTATGGCTCCCTTTAAAATATATATATATATAGTTTGGACTTTGAAATACTCGAATTGTTTGGTGTTTTTGTTCAAACTTATCCAAATTTAATATAAGTTTTTAAAATTTTATCCAAATTCATACTAAATTTAACAATATTTTATCTAAACTCTAAAAAAATTCAAACGGAACTTAAATTGCTCGGTTAAACCTACCCGACTTACACTCCGATCCAAAATTAGTGAGGTATATCATGGGCTGACTTCAGGCCCGTCTGAGGCAGGCTTTTGGGTTCCGACTTCTTACTTGCTGTTGCTTAATTTAGAACATTCCAGGTGTTCGGCTGTATCCAAAAAAAAAATAAAAGTGTTAGGCTTCTGAAAAAGTTCTTTTCAAACATTGCTGGTTTTGAAAGTCCAGCAAGTTTGAAGTTCGTGTAGGCTTAGCCGTTACAAAAAGAATAGGCTTCCCTCTTAGACTAGAGTGTCCAGTTGAAGGGGCTCACTCAAGCCCATTTTAATAATGAAATTGTTCATCCTGTAAGTAATTATTCGTACAAAAAATAAATTAATTGAATATTGATAGGGATATGATTGGATCACATGTGTTTAAAAAACAAAAATAGATGGTGTATTGTTAAAATCAAAATTTTGATTTATTTTTTGTAAAAGAACTATAATCTAATCATGTAGCTATCGATATCTACACTACTTAATTTTTTTCATGAATAATTTTCTTGAGGAATATTAAATATTGAGAGGGTAATTTGTGTAGCCAAATTGGGCCGAGCTAGGTTGGAGTGGTAGTCAAAGATGTTTATAGGACCTATCTACGAGACCGAGCTATAAGACCTAGCTACGGAACCAAGTTATTGGACCTAACTACGCGGCCTAGCTATGAGACCTAGCCACGAGACCTAGCTACGGGACTTAGCTACTTCCTAGTGGCGGTCAACGCTATGGCCGAGCTACCAAGCAAGGTAGTCAAACGGAGAGAAGAGCCGAAGTAACTTGGTTGACCGCAAAGTTAGCCGAGGTAAAGGTATCAGCCGAGGTGAAGGGTCAGCCGAGGTAAAGGCATTAGCCGAGGTAAAGCTATCAGCCGAGGTAAAGGTGTTAGCCGCGGTAAAAAGAGCTTAGCAAGTGGATCGCAAGTGTTACCACGGTCCAAGTGTAATGACGGTCACCGCGGTCGTAGCGCGCCATAGCTAGTTCGGTCCAAGTATGAAAAGGGATTGGCAAGTGTTACCACGGTCCAAGTGTGATTAAAGTCACCAGGCAGTGTAAAGGAAGTTATCTCGGTCATGGTATTCAGAACCAAGGTATTTGGACTTCTTGCGGTGGACCTAGCTATCGTTAGCTTGGTCGGGGGTTTACTATGGTTAGCACGGTAGTAAGTAAACACCACAGTTGGAGTATGTCAAACCGAGGTACACGCAGTGAAAGGAAGAGCCGAGCTAGCTGGAGCTCGATCTAGTCTGTGGCTTTAACATGGTCATGTTAGCTCGGTCGTAGCGGAGTTCGACCATGGTAAAACCATCTCACTTGGTTTAAGCAGTGAGGAGGGTGTTGAAGGATAAGCATTATCTTTCAGGAGTATGAATCCTAGGAGGACTCTACATGGAGGAGTAAGAGTCTTACTTGGATTGTGCCACACGGAACCTATAAAAGTTCACAAACATCACCTATGGAGAGGTAACATAACTTTTATTCTTGAATATACAGAGCTTTTGTCTGCTTGTCTATTTTGCTGACTTAGGCATCGAAGGGGTTTCCAGCACACACCCGCCGGCTAGCTCACGTTTGTGTTTTCAGGGAATAAAGCGACGACGTTTGGAGGAGCGCAGACTTGATCAACAGGATTATACGAGAAGGTTTATTTCTTTCCCGTACAAATATAAATAGTTTAGACCACAAAAATGGACTAGACACCAGTAGCTATATTATTAGATTACATTTCTTTTAGAAAAAATAAATCAAAATTTTGATTTTCACAATACATGGTCTATTTCTTTTTTAAATACAAATGTGACTATCAATATCCGATCAATTTATTTTTGTATAAATAATTTTTTGAGAAATATTAAATATAAATAATTTAAATCAAAAAAATGGGCTTGAGATGGTCCCACTACCCTTCAATTAGTCCTCCGGTTCAATTACTAGACTAGAGCGAAACTTTACGCCAAAAAAAAAAACCTTGTATCCTTCAAGGAAAATTGAGTCTAGAGCAACACTGTTGGGGCAGTGATAAAATCACATGTTTTTTCACCACATGTTAGAATCATGCAATCAAAATCATGAAAAAAAATTTCCTTAAGTTGGAAAGAAAATGGATTTCAATCACTCGTGTTTCTAGAATTTAATTAAAATTAACACTCATAAGAGCTTCAATAAAAATAGAAATGAATAAATGTAATCCTATCACCCAATCTAGTGATCTCAAGAACCATAACATGTTCCATTGGAGGGCATATGGTAAGCTGTGCAATGTTTAATTATCAAATTCTTCTTCTTTAGTTTAGTGTAAAAAATTATGTCATTTTCACATTAACATTAAGAAATTGTACATGCCATTTGCAGAAACTGCATCTCTGCAATAGTTAGTGGTGACAAAACAGGAAGGCCAATGAAATATGATCCAAAAAGCAAGGAAACAACAGCTCTTCTTGAAAACCTCATATTTCCAAACAGAGTAGCACTAAGCAAAGATGGCTATTTCATTCTCATTGCAGACACCACTAATTGCAAAATCTTAAGATTGTGGCTCAAATCATCAAAATTAAGGATAGTTGAAGATTTTGCCCATCTCCTAGGATTTCCAAACAACATTAGGAGGAACCTCAAATGAGAGTTTTGGGTTGCAATTCATGCAAAGAGAGGGAAGATTTTGAAATGGCTTCTCTCATATCATTGGGTTATAGAAATACTTTGATTAAATTTCCTTTTGACATTACAAAATTATATTCATATCTTCCAAAATGGAGAGTGTGTGGATTGGCAGTGAGGTTAAATGAGGATGGTGAAGTGTTGGAAATGTCGGAAGATAAAAGAAGAAAATGGATGGAAATTTGTTAGTGAAGTTGAAGAGATAAATGGAAGTTTGTGGATTGGATCTATAAGGATGCCTTTTGTAGGGATACAAGAAAGAAAGGCGAGTGTCTCTATGAAGAGATGAATTATTTGTATTAATGGTCCAATATTGTACAGGGAAGATACTACCACCACCTCTAAGTATAGGTTGAGAAATTGGCGGAAAGAATCATGAATGTATTTATGATATATAGTAAAAATGGCAAATTATACTAGTGGTGTCTAGATTTTGTCCTTTGTTTCGTTTTGATCCTTATATTTTGAATTAACTCAAATTTGATCCTTAATTTTAGATTTTAGTTCAATTTGGTCCAATTAAATAATATCATCAAGATTTTTGAAGGAAAATGATCACTAATTTAGTTGAACTTGATTCATTGAATTAATCGAGTTTATAATTTTATTCTTAAAAGCATGATACATGTTTAAGTTTTTGTTATTGGTAATCCCGTTTGACAAAACTTCTTTCAGTTGTAATTATATTCAATCTTTTATTTTAGTGAGGCTGTGAGTATTTAGATGTGAATCCAACTCGAATTGTGCCTTACAGAGGAGTTTGTGATTCTAATTCATTATGTTTGTCACTTCGCTGACTATGTTGAGGGTCGAGCTGCTCGATCAGCTTGCAGGGGTCCAGGAGGCTATACCCCATGGTAGGTTTAGGCAGCGCCAAGACGGAGTCAAGGGGCTGCGCCCCAGCGGCAAAAAGAAAAAATACAGTCGAAATTATTTGACTACTCGAGCGGTCATTTGTGCGTTCGAGTGAAGAAAAGAATAATCTAGTACTTTTGCAGAGTGCCTAAACTTCTAGGAAAAAAGTTTTACGGCTCGAGCGGTGAAAGTTGTACTCAAGTGATCAGACTATATGCACTGTCTTTAGTCACACCACTCGAGTGGTGAAATGTGCGCTTGAGCGGTCGACGCAATCATTTTTTCTATAAAGTGCGTTGTTCGATGTTTCTAGGGTTTGACACGTCCAGATTTTCAGAGAGGAACAAGATACAAAGTGTTTTATATTGAATGGTGGTTTTTGAGTGTTTCCTTGATGATTTAAGCGTGATCAATGGATCCGCGAACTTCATATCAACTTCATTAATGATTTGTTTGTTTTCTTTTATTCACAAAAGAGAGAGTTGTTATTCGGTGGATTCCGTTGAACTTCGGTCTGAAGCTTTGGTAGATTCCAAAGTGGCTCATCGTTATAGATTCGACATCGGCGTTGTGGATTCAACGTTGGGCAAGACAATTTTGAGGTGAAGAAGGTGGTGGAAGAGGCGCATAGGAGTCGGTTCAATTCGAGCATGGATTCATTAGGTAATTGAGGGTACACTTGTGTAATTTTTTTTTGCCTTCTTAATGGATTGTTTTATGGTTTTTGCCCGTGATTTTTTTATGACAATTGGAGATGCTCCGATTGTGATTTTTTTTACATTAAATTATTGTGTCGATTTATCTTTCATTGTTTGATTGAGATTGTCATTTACTGTTTAAAATTGATACATAATCACAAATCAATATTTTGGGGTTATTGTATATATATATATTTCAATACATACCACTTATGTGCACATTTTTTATAATAAAAAAATGCTAACGGTTGTAATCAATTAAATCAAATTGAGACAAAGATATAAATCGAAAGTCAAAATATTAAGCTGATTAAAATTATAGAGATCAAAATGATAAAAAGACCAACGTATAGACTATCAATGTAATTTACAAAATTAATGCATGCAATGGGGTATACAATGAACTTGAGATAATTGTATTAAACTAGTGTTATGCCTGCACAATGTATAGGATGTGAAATTTTACAGTCAGCTTTTAAGAAAAATATTGGGCGAATTACACTAACAGTCCCTATAATTTGAGGTTCGTATCATTTTGGTCTCTGACTTTTTAATTATGACATATTTGACCTTAAATATTGAATATCATTCCAAATAAGGACAATTGAAAATACCATTGCTCAATTTCAAGGATGAAGTCGTCTATTTGATAAAATATAAACTAATTTGACAAAAATAAATATCAAAAAAATATTTTTGAATTTTAAAAAACTATTTCTACCCACTAAAGATAAAATTATGTAAAATTGATAAATCTTGTACACATTTATTTATTTATTTATTTTACCAAATTAATTTTTATTATGTGTTTGGATAATAATTATGTAATTGGTGGTTATTAGGCTTTTAATGTGTAATCGATATATTCAATATATGAAATTTTTTTAGTTTTAGATTTTTTGATTTAATGGTTTGGTTAATAATAATATCAAAGTTGTTGCCATATTGATTTTGAAAAAATAGAATCTAATTTAATGAAAATAAAAACAACCACCCATTACATGATCATCATCCAAACACATAATAAAAATTAATTTGGTAAAATAAATAAATATGTAAAAGATTTATCAATTTTACATAATTTTATCTTTGGTGGGTATAAATAATTTTTAAAAATTCAAAAATATTTTTTTGACATTTATTTTTGTCAAATTAGTTTATATTTCATCAAACTGACAACTTTATCCTTGAAATTGAGCAATAGTGTCTTCAATTGTCCTTATTTGGAACATGATTCAAAATTCATGGTCAAATATATCACAATTGAAAAAGTAGTGATCAAAGTGGCACGAGTCCCAAACTATAAAGACTATTAGTGTAATTTGCCAAAAAATATTTTCAATTCTAAAAGTTCAGAATTTTATGTTTATAAAAGCAAAAGATTAATAACAAGTTATTTCAATTTTTAGGTCTAATCTTTCAGAGTTTTTCATTGTTGTTAAAACGTGTGAAATGTCCCATAAAAAAACAAAATAAAGCAAAATAAAATAAAATAAAACATGTGAAATGAGAATTTTATTGTATAGTTTTCACCATCTTAATTTATGTGGAATTCAATACTTAGAGGTCAATGATTCTCTATGTCCAAATCTTTATATTCTCCCATCAATCTGTCTAAAAAGCTTACAGACATTAAATTATTAAAAATCTCAAGTTCCTGTTTAATTGATGTAAATGTTTTAGAATAGGGAGACATTGATATTTGGGGATAGAGATCTCATGTCAATCTTTAAGATTAGTATTGTGTCAGATTGCGTAGAAATCATTACAAAAAGTTACATATATCATTTAGAGCTAAAACTAATTTAATACTACAAAATTCTCAAATTTTCCAAACAATTAAAAAAAAAACATGTGCCTGGCAAAGGTTTGCTTGAAAGAGGAGGAAAATATAAATGGAAATACAATTTGAAGTGATCATTAAAAAGGGATAATTGCGAACTATAAAGAAAGGAGATAATTATTGAATAATACTGAGACATCATATGAGATTGTTTATGTAATATCTTAAACAAAAATAGTTCGTAACTCGAATTTGTGTAGTTCGAATAACTCGAATGTATCAAAACGATGTCGTTTTGGGACATTCGAGCCATTCAGGCCATGAAAATTCGGACTATCAATCATTGTTGTATCTTAAATCAATCATGTGGTAGGAAATTTTATGAGTGAAACATATTAACTCATCTTTATTAATTAGTTAAGAAATAAAAATTTATCCAATTAATGTGTATTACGTTTATTTATTTGGCGAGATATCGTTTAAATAGTGCCATATAGTAATTTTAAAAAGTGGGTTTTATTATTGGAAAAGCTGAGTGAATTCTTATTTATTTTTTTTGGTGTTAATATTTTTAGTCAAATACAAACAAATTAGATTTTTTTTTTTTAATTTTTATTTTTAGCTAAAAAGTAATTAAAAAGGCAAAAGCTTACTTATGGTAGAAATTTTTGACATAGCACTATAATACGACTCAAAACGTATACGAAATCACCCAGATAGGATCGGAAATTTTTCATCACAAACAAGTATATGATACGGTCCGATGACACAAATGTTAAACAGGCTATGGTATTGTTAAATTGGCATAACACGAAATTGATACGAATAATTCATTTAATAAATAATTAGTTATATATTTTAATTTTATTTCTACTAAGTGTGCATAAAAATTTTGAATCTCTTATGTAAGTCCATTTATCTCATTAAAAGGTATGTAAAAAAAAGTTTTTGTCTATATTTTAGAATTAATCTATCAAAAACTATTACAATATGATGTAAGTTTATTAAATTAGGAAAATAAAATTGAGTTAAAATCAAATATTGTAGTGAATAATTTTATTCAGTAGAAATTAGTTTCATTAAATTTAACTTTTGGAGAAATTTTTAAATTTTTTCATACACATGATAATTTTAACTACAGATGAAATGTTTTGACATGACACATTAACACGACACAAACTACACACAGACTAAAATGACACGATGCAATAACACGAAATAATAAATGAATTGAGTTAGTGTTGAGGTAATTCTAACATGAATTCAAAATGACACAACATAAACACAACCTGATATGACACGATGCTCACCCTTATTTTCTACAAGACTTATTTTTCTTTTTCTTGTATTAATTTGTCTAATAGATATAAATGTTTGTTGAGTAGAGCATATGTGACAGTTTGTTTCAAGTGACCACTCAAGTGGTGAAAAGACTGCTCGAGCGGAGATCAAGTGCTTCTATAGTTTGTTTTGCAGGCCTGGGGATTGCTCAAGCGAACAAGTGGTCGCTCGAGGGAAGACCGCGAGCTCCCAGTATCTCGTTTTGCAGACAGAGACACTGAGAGATATCTGAAAAATCTAGAAATCCCCTAGATGTTGATTTGTGATTATGTATCAATTTTAAGC